GGTTTCCTTCTGTGCAAAAGCTTTGAAGTTTCATTAGGTCCCATTTTTTTATTTTTGTTTTTATTTCCATTACTCTAGGAGGTGGATCAAAAAAGATCTTGCTGTGATTTATGTCAAAGAGTGTTCTTCCTATGTTTTCCTCTAAGAGTTTTAAGTGTCCAGTCTTAAATTTAGGTCTCTACTCCATTTTGAGTTTATTTTTGTGTATGGTGTTAGGAAGTGTTCTAATTTCATTCTTTTACATGTAGCTGTCCAGTTTTCTCAGCACCACTTATTGAAGAGACTGTCTTTTCTCCACTGTATATCCTTGTCTCCTTTGTCATAGATTAGTTGACCATAGGTGTGTGGGTTTATCTCTGGGCTTTCTATCTTGTTCCATTGATCTATATTTCTTTTTTTGTGCCAGTACCATATTGTCTTGATCACTGTAGCTTTGTAGTATGGTCTGAAGTCAGGGAGTCTGATTCCATCAGCTCCATTTTTTTCCCTCAAGACTGCTTTAGCTATTCAGGGTCTTTTGTGTCTCCATACACATTTTAAGATTTTTTGTTCTAGTTCTGTAAAAAATGCCATTGGCAATTTGATAGGGATTGCATTGAATCTGTAGATTGCTTTGGGTACTATAGTCATTTTCACAATGTTGATTCTTCCAATCCAAGAACATGGTATATCACTCCATCTGTTGGTATCATCTTTTTTTTGCGGTACGTGGGCCTCTCACTGTTGTGGCCTCTCCCATTGGGGAGCACAGGCTGGCTCCGGACGCACAGGCTCTGCGGCCGTGGCTCATGGGCTCAGCCGCTCTGCGCCATGTGGGATTTTCCCAGACCGGGGCATGAACATGCGTCCCCTGCATCGGCAGGTGGACTCTCAACCACTGCGCCACCAGGGAAGCCCTGTTGGTATCATCTTTAATTTCTTTCATCAGTGTCTTACAGTCTTCTGCATACAGGTCTTTTGTCTCCTTAGGTAGGTTTATTCCTAGGTATTTTATTCTTTTTGTTGCAATGGTAAATGGGAATGTTCGCTTAATTTCTCTTTTAGATTTTTCATCATTAGTGTATAGGAATGCAAGACATTTCTGTGCATTAATTTTGTATCCTGCAACTTTACCAAATTCATTGATTAGCTCTAGTAGTTTTCGTGGCAACTTCAGGATTCTCTGTATATAGTATCATGTCATCTGCAAACAGTGACAGTTTTACTTCTTCTTTTCCAATTTGTATTCCTTGTATTTCCTTTTCTTCTCTGATTGCTGTGGCTAAGACTTCCAAAACTACGTTGAATAATAGTGGTGAGAGTGGACATCCTTGTCTTGTTCCTAATCTTAGAGGAAATGCTTTCAGTTTTTCACCATTGAGAATGATGTTTGCTGTGGGCTTGTCGTATATGGCCTTTATTATATTGAGGTAGTTTCCCTCTATGCCCACTTTCTGGAGAGTTTCTATCATAAATGGTGTTGAATTTTGTCAAAAGCTTTTTCTGCACCTATTGAGATGATCATATGGTTTTTATTCTTCAGTTTGTTCATATGGTGTATCACATTGATTGATTTGCATATATTGAAGAATCCTTGCATCCCTGGGATAAATCCCACTTGATCATGGTGTATGATCCTTTTAATGTGTTGTTGGATTCTGTTTGCTAGTATTTGGTGAGGATTTTTGCATCTATATTCATCAGTGATATTGGTCTGTAATTTTCTTTTTTTTGTAGTATCTTTGTCTGGTTTTGGTATCAGGGTGATGGTGGCCTCATCGAATGAGTTTGGGAGTGTTCCTTCCTCTGCAATTTTTTGGAAGAGTTTGAGAAGGATGGGTGTTAGCTCTTCTCTAAATGTTTGATAGAATTCACCTGTGAAGCCATCTTGTCCTGGACTTTTGTTTGTTGGAAGATCTTTAATCGCAGTTTCAATTTCATTACTTGTGATTGGTCTGTTCATATTTTCTATTTCTTCCTGGTTCAGTCTTGGAAGGTTATACCTTTCTAAGAATTTGTCCATTTCTTCCAGGTTGTCCATTTTATTGGCATAGAGTTGCTTACAGTAGTCTCTTAGGATGCTTTGTATTTCTGTGGTGTCTGTTGTAACTTTTCCTTTTTCATTTCTAATTTTATTGATTTGAGTCCTCTCTCTCTTTTCTTTATGAGTCTGGCTAAAGGTTTATCAATTTTGTTTATCTTCTCAAAGAACCAGCTTTTAGTTTTATTGATCTTTACTATTGTTTTCTATGTTTCCATTTATTTCAGCTCTGATCTTTATGATTTCTTTCCTTCTGCTAACTTTGGGTTTTGTTTGTTCTTCTTTCTGTAGTTCCTTTAGGTGTAAGGGTAGATTGTCTATTTGAGATTTTTCTTGTTTCTTGAGGTAGGATGTATAGCTATAAACTTCCCTCTTAGAACTGCTTTTGCTGCATCTCATAGGTTTTGGATCATTGTGTTTTCATTGTCATTTGTATATAGGTATTTTTTGACTTCCTCTTTGATTTCTTCAGTGATCTCTTGGTTATTTAGTAATGTATTGTTTAGCCTCCATGTGTTTGTGGTTTTTTACGTTTTTTCCCCCTGTAATTGACTTCTAATCTCATAGCGTTGTGGTCAGAAAAGATGTTTGATATGATTCCGGTTTTCTTAAATTTACTGAGGCTTGATTTGTGACCCAAGATGTGAACTATCCTGGAGAATGTTCTGTGCGCACTTGAGAAGACCATGTAATCTGCTGTTTTTGGATGGACTGTCCTATAAATATCAATTATATCTATCTGGTTTATTGTATCATTTAAAGCTTGTGTTTCCTTATTAATTTTCTCTTTGGATGATCTGTCCATTGGTGTAAGTGAGGTGTTAAAGTCCCCCACTATTATTGTGTTACCTTCGATTTCCTCTTTTATAGCTGTTAGCAGTTGCCTTATGTATTGAGGTGCTCCTGTGTTGGGTGTATATATATTTATAATTGTTATATCTTCTTCTTGGATTGATCCTTTGATCATTATGTAGTGTCCTCCCTTGTCTCTTGTAACATTCTTTATTTTAAAGTCTATTTTATCTGACATGAGTATTGCTACTCCAGCTCTCTTTTGATTTCCATTTGCATGGAATATCTTTTTCCATCCCCTCACTTTCAGTTTGTATGTGTCCCTAGGTCTGAAATGGGTCTGTTGTAGACAGCATATATATGGGTCTTGTTTTTGTATCCATTCAGCAAGCTTGTGTCTTTTGGTTGGAGCATTTAATCCATTCACGTTTAAGGTAGTTATCGATATGTATGTTCCTATGACCATTTTCTTAATTGTTTTGGGTTTGTTTTTGTAAATCCTTTTCTTCTCTTGTGTTTCCCACTTAGAGAAGTTCCTTTAGCCTTTATTGTACAGCTGGTTTGGTCGTGCTAAATTCTCTTAGCTTTTGCTTGTGTGTAAAGCTTTTGATTTCTCCATCAAGTCTGAATGAGATTCTTACCGGGTAGAGTAATCTTGGTTGTAGGTTCTTCCCTTTCATCACTGTAAGTATATCATGCCACTCCCTTCTGGCTTGTAGAGTTTCTGCTGAGAAATCAGCTGTTAACCTTACGGGAGTTCCCTTGTATGTTATTTGTCGTTTTTCCCTTGCTGCTTTCAATAATTTTTCTTTGTTCTTAATTTTTGCCAGTTTGCTTACTGTGTGTCTTGGCGTGTTTCTCCTTGAGTTTATCCTGTATGGGGCTCTCTGTGCTTCCTGGACTTGGGTGGCTATTTCTTTTCCCATGTTAGGGAAGTTTTCGACTATAATCTCTTCAGATATTTTCTTGGGTCCTTTCTCTCTCTCTTCTCCGTCTGGGACCCCTATAATGCGAATGTTGTTGCATTTAATGTTGCCCCAGAGGTCTCTTAGGCTGTCTTCATTTCTTTTCATTCTTTTTTCTTTAGTCTGTTCTGCAGCAGTGAATTCCACCATTCTGTCTTCCAGGTCACTTATCTGTTCTCCTGCCTCAGTTATTCTGCTATTGATTCCTTCTAGTGTAGTTTTCATTTCAGTTACTGAATTGTTCATCTCTGTTTGTTTGTTCTTTAATTCTTCTAGATCTTTGTTTAACATTTCTTGCATTTTCTTGATCTTTGCCTCCATTCATTTTCTGAGGTCCTGGATCATCTTCACTCTCATTATTCTGAATTCTTTTTCTGGAAGGTTGCCTATCTCCACTTCATTTAGTTGTTTTTCTGGTGTTTTATCTTGTTCCTTCATCTGGTACATAGCCCTCTGCCTTTTCATCTTGTCTATGTTTCTGTGAATTTGGTTTTTGTTCCACAGGCTGCAGGATTGTAGTTCTTCTTAGGTGGGGACTTCCTGTCTTGCTCACACTGTGATCTCAGAGACTCTCATAGTGTCTAGCTCATGTAAAGTTCATTTCTGTTTCCTTAGTTAATTAGTTAGACCAAAAGCTTTAAGTACTTTAAGCGTATGCTTAGAAACTCAGATGTGTTCATTTACGTTGCCCACATTTTTGCAGTAGTTCATGGGTGACCATGCAGATGTTCTTTTGCAAAATATGGATTTATACTAGGTTAGATCTGACTCTCTGAAGTTCATAATGAAACACCAGGGAGTTTCTCATTTCTCACAAACTGTTTCAGATTTATGGAAAATAGTGTCATGTCTACTTCTTATTTTCTCCAAATTGATAAGGCTAACCCATGAGTAATCTACCTCACCACATATTTTTGGAAAATGTTTCACACTTAATTGATAAAGGCATCCCCAAAACCATATGTAATATTAAGTAATGCTGTTAAGTAAAACTGTGTAAAAATATCAAGAAATGTTCGAATTGGTAGAGCTTCTATTTTAGTCTGCTGTGTGCATGTGTGTATAAATTTTCTTTTAATTTTCTTTAGACCCAAGGAGGCTAAGGGCTGGTTTATGTTGCCTTAAATATAGTAGCTTAAGACAATACTTCTGTTAACAAAAACCCTATTTATTTTGAAAAAAAGTGACTAGTATACATTTATTTGTCTCATTTGTATATTTAGAATTTCTTTTTTAAAAGATGGAGGACTCAAAATTGCCAATGTGACTAAAGCTGATGCTGGAATTTATACGTGCATAGCAGAAAACCAGTTTGGGAAAGCAAATGGCACAACACACTTGGTGGTTACAGGTAGGTGCATTTCTGAGACATTGCTTTACAGGGAGATACACTGTGTGGTATGTTATTAAGATCAAAGATAAAAATGTTTTTCACAATATGCAGTGCACTACGAAGGTCGACCTTACGTTTGCACTTGTGTTTTCTCTAACAAGTGAAAGTCAAGGGAACAATCCTTAATATTTCTTTATACACCACGGTGTGTACCAGGCACACGTGAGTTACCATGCTGTCAAAATGGGCAGTAGAATTATAAGTAGCATATGTGGCTGGTCTGCTTTTATTTCGTGCTATTCTAGTATGTCAGATCTTTTGGGTACACTTTTTCCTTTTCCATTAGCTTTGATATTTTCTGGAGATGTTTGAGTCCATGGAATAACCCTTGCTATCAAAAAGAGTCACTTAGAATTGTGGATGTGTTTGTTCATTTATTCATTGAAGAAAAGCATTGAGTATCTACCATGTGCCAGGTGCTTGGGTTATTCAGTAACAAACTGACAAAGAATGCTGCCCACATGAAGCTTACCTTCTACCAAAGGTAGAAAGAAAATAAGTGGTAGGAATATAAGGCAAGGAAATTCTTAGAAGGAAAGAAATTGCAAACGATTGTAAAATACAGAGGAGTGTTTGGGAGAAGTAAGCCTGGAGCATGAACCCAAGTGATCAGAGAAGGAGAGATGTGAACAAAGATTTCGTGGAGATGGAGTTCAGTAGATTTCTTGGGGACAATCATGTAGAGGTTTTGTAGACTTTGTTAGGACGTCAGCTTTTAGTTGGCATGAAAAGTCGAGGTTAGTGCACAGTTTTGAGCAGAGGAATGAAATGATGGGAAATATATTTTTAAAGGGTTGCTCTAGCTGCTCTGTTGAGAACAGACTGTGAGGAGTCAAGGGTCGAAGTGGGAGGAACGTCAGGAGACATTGCAGTAATCCAGGTGGGAGTGATAATGACCCAGATGAGGGTGGCAGCGGAGCAGTTGATGGGAAGGGATTCGATTCTGCATGTATTCTGCATGTAGAGTCAGTAGGCGTTGCTGGCAAACTGACTGTGAGGTCTGAGAGAAGGAAAGAGAAGGATGCCTGCAGAGTGTTTGGTGAACAACAGGAAGAGTAACAGTCAAAACAACTGAGATGGGAAAGGCTTGAGGTTGCACAGGTTTGGGTAGGAGGGAGATTGTTGTTGTAGAAAACATAATCACTGCCTCTTTTGAAGACTTTTGCTACAACGTGGAGCAAAGAAATGGGGAGCAGCGCTGGAAAAGTGGAGTCAAGGGAAGCTTAATTCCCAACTATGGAAGGACTATGGTGATGATAGAAAGGACATTTGCATTTGGGAAAAAACAAATTAGTTAACATTTTAACTTAGTATCCTACCTATTCTAAACATTTTTGTAGTCTTTCAGAAGTTTGAGTCTATTTAAATTTTGGTAGTAATACATTTTCCAGTCATTGAAAATACAGTGGTTTCTCTTTCTACTGGTATATTTCATGAAGCAATAAAGCTAAAATGAAATTGATTTTGTAGTAGTATTGTAACCCTTGTTTACAGGTGACTTCAATTTTTGAACTTCAATATCCCATAAATTTAGATACCCTAATTCATTTAACAAGAATTTGTGTATCCAATGAAATATGTTATGGGTCTGCATCAAAATGTCTCTTTCCATCTTGAAGACTTCATGATACAGAGGTGTATATATGTATATAGACACATATGTATGTCTACACACACATACATACTATGTTAGATTAACAGTCTGCCTGTTGAAAATTGCTTTCATCAAAATAAAAACGCTGAAGTTTTACTTAAAACTTTATTATTTCCCCAATAGAACCAACAAGAATAACTTTGGCACCATCCAACATGGATGTCTCAGTGGGCGAAAGTGTCATTTTGCCCTGCCAGGTGCAACACGACCCCCTATTAGACATCATGTTTACCTGGTATTTCAATGGGGCCCTCACAGATTTTAAGAAAGATGGATCTCACTTTGAAAAAGTCGGTGGGGTAAGTTGTGACACTTTCCTCATGCTTTTTACATCTGTCTCTGACATATTGTCCCTAAAGGAACATCGGGCACATACCTGTTACTCCAGTAATATCTGTTCTGTGAGTGAATCGGGGGTTGCAATTCTGTAATGATCTAATTTTATTATAGTAATTACCAGAAAGTGAGCATATTTACTTCAACCCGTAAACTATAATTTTAATTAAAATTGATGTTTGCTGTGTTTATATTAATTGTTATTTTGCACGATACTTTTGTCATTAGTATTCCACAGAAGGGAAAGTGTTCTTATACAACTGTTTATTTTCAACGTGATATATTATGAAGTTGAACGAAGTCACATTTGCTAAATGCCTTCCATGTATCAGGCCGGGTGCTTCATCCCAGTTAATCCTTGCAATGACACTGGATGTCAGTGGTAAGCATTGCCCTTTTACAGGTGCATAAACTAAGGATTTGTAAAGATATTAATTTGTCCAGGGCCACTGAGCTAGCTAGTTGTGGAACTTACATCCAAGCCTAGATCTGTGAGTCCCCAAAACACAAATACTTTCTCTTGTTTCATTCTGTCTCCTCGTTTGCGATGGTTCTATGCGAGGAAGAATTACAGATTTCAAGGGAAAACAGACACCTTGAGGAGAACTGTTAAGAAGGAACGCAGTGTTGTGAACCGTACAGACTAACAGCAGGCCTCGCACCTGGCCACATGTCTGTAAATCCATCGTCACAAGGCCAGTTTCCCTTGCAGTCCTGTTTTCTTTGACACAGGGTTTAGCTTCGTTCATTTTGGCTAAGACGTCAGTGGTACATCATAGTAGAGTCTGGGTTTTCTCCTTATGGACAAAACGATATGATGGTCAATTCAGCTATATTTATTTTAAAATATTTCTTGGGAATTCTCTGGTTGTCCAGTGGTTGGGACTTGGCACTTTCACTGCCATGGCCCGGGTTCAATCCCTGGTCGGGGAACTAAGATCCTGCAAGCCACATGGCCAGGTCAAAAAAAATTTTAAAAAAACCCACCACCAATATTTCTTCTTCAATGTATATATGTATATACATGGGGCCTATTAATGTGTTAGGGTTGTGTGCAACTTGAAAGGATGGTGTGAGGACTTGAATTATGTTTCCTCAAAAGAAAAGTTCAAATCCTAAGGCCTTAGTTGTGATAGGATTGTGGTAGAGGCTAATAATAATAGGATTATTAGCCTCTGCCCCTGGATCCTGGCACAGACCTCCTAAAACCCTTGGAATTTCCTGCGTGATGAAATATTTTTTTGTCCTAATGAAGTGACGCTGTGGGCTCCTGGATAGTTTCAGGATGGTCACCAGAAAGACCAAGCCATGATTAGAAACTTGGAACCTTCAGCACTCCCCATGGATCATAAATTCAGTGCCCAGCCCCTCCATGCTTCAGGAAGGAGGGAGGGGCTGAGCACTGAATTTATGATCGATCAGGCCTATGTGATGAAGCTTCCATAAAAATCCCAAAAGTAAAGTACTTTTCATCACAGAGAGCTTCTGCGTTGGTGAACGTATCTACACGCGAGGTGGGTGACACACTCCACCTCCACTGGGATAGAAGCTCTTGTACTTGGAACCCTTCTGGATCTCACCCTATCTATCTCTTCATCTGGCTGTTTAATATGTATCCTTTATGATACGTAAAGTATCATAAAGTAAATAAATGTTACCCTGAGTTCTGTGAGCCATTCTAGCAAATTACTGAACCCAAGGAGAGTGCCATGGGAACTTCAGTTTATAAGTGGTTGGTCAGAAGTACAAGTGACAATCTGAGACTTGCAGTTGGTGTCTGAAGAGGGGCCAGTCTCAGGGGGCTGAGCCCTTAACTTATGGATCTGATGCTAACTCCAGGCAGATAGTATCAGAATTGAATTGACTTTTGGGACCCCCCCACCTGGTGTTGGAGAATTGCTTGGTGTGGAAAACACACACATCTGGTGTCAGAAATGTGACGTGTTCCGAGTGTGCGTATAGTATTGACTGTAAAGGAGATACAGAAGAGTGTCCTTTACACTAGTACCTCAGAATGTGGCCTTATTTGGAAAGGGTTGTTGCAGATATATGTAGTGAAGTTATGATGATGTCATACTGGAATAGGATGGGCCCTAATCCAGTATGACTGTTGTCCTTGTAATAGGAGGGAAATTTAGGCACAGACAAACACACAGAGGGGAGAATATAGACACAAGGAAGATGGCCCTGTGAAGATGGAGGCACAAGTCACAGAATGCCTGGGGCTGCCAGAACCTAGAAGAGGCAGGGAAGAAGGGTCTTACCCTAGAAATTTGGGAGAGAGATCTTGATTTCAGATTTGTGGACTCCAGAACTCTAAGAGGATAAAGTTCTGTCTTTTGAAGCCACCCAGTTTGTGTTACTTTGTTACAGCAGCCCTAGTGACCCACTACAGCTGGTCTTTAAAAAAATTAAATTAAATTAAAAGCGATATTTAGATACCTAGCCACAATTAAGTACAATTTCAATGCTGTTTCTATGTTCTATCATCTGGCTTACTCCATTTTCGAAATTCTAGTTTTCCAAATTGTTCTGACTGATTCAAGGCTTTCAAGAACTTCACCAATTGCTGCAAACCATTGACATTTCTTTTACTATTGCTTTAAATGCTTTATTTTTTACTTTTATTTTCTATTTATTTATTTATTTTACATCTTTATTGGAGTATAATTGCTTTACAATGGTGTGTTAGTTTCTGCTTTATAACAAAGTGAATCAGTTATACATATACATATGTCCCCATATCTCTTCCCTCTTGCGTCTCCCTCCCTCCCACCCTCCCTATCACACCCCTCTAGGTGGTCACAAAGCACTGAGCTGATCTCCCTGTGCTATGTGGCTGCTTCCCACTAGCTATCTATTTCATGTTTGGTAGTGTATATATGTCCATGCCACTCTCTCGCTTTGTCACAGCTTACCCTTCCCCCTCCCCGTGTCCTCAAGTCCATTCTCTAAGTCTGTGTGTTTATTCCTGTCTTACCCCTAGGTTCTTCATGACATTTTTTTTTTATTTCTTAAATTCCATATATATGTGTTAGCATACGGTATTTGTCTTTCTCTTTCTGACTTACTTCACTCTGTAGGACAGACTCTAGGTCCATCCACCTCATTACAAATAGCTCAATTTCGTTTCTTTTTATGGCTGAGTAATATTCCATTGTATATATGTACCACATCTTCTTTATCCATTCATCCGATGATGGACACTTAGGTTGTTTCCATCTCCGGGCTATTGTAAATAGAGCTGCAATGAACATTTTGGTACATGAGTCTTTTTGAATTATGGTTTTCTCAGAGTATATGCCCAGTAGTGGAACTGCTGCTTTAAATGCTTTTTTTTTTAAGTCACTGATTTCTTCTGTCACAACAGGAAAAGGCATATGCCAGTATCCTCAGCCAACTCTTTACTCCATACTTAGGGTTTATCATTTGCCTTTCCTTGGAGACGAGTCAAGGGAAAAAAGAAAAGGCTAGAATGTTACCTTCACTGCTGTAACACAGCTCTTGCCCTAACTTTAATTCATAAAGAATTTGATTTGAAACATTAATTGCCTTTGCTGTATAATGTAGATAGCACCGTGATTTATCTCCTCGATCGTGAACTGTTGATAATATTGTATCCAATACAATGTCCTTCGTCTGCACTAATGCTAAAGAAATACACATTTAAAGACTAAAAACCCAAAGTACTTTGATTTGATTTTTTTAAATTAATTTATTTATTTTGGGCTGTGTCAGGTCTTAGTTGCGGCACGCAGGATCTTTCGTTGATGTGCCCGGGCTTCTCTCTACTTGTGGCGTGCCGGTTTTCTCTTCTCTAGTTGTGGCGCGTGGGTTCCAGAGCTTGTGGGCTCTGTAGTTTGCAGCACGCAGGCTCTCTAGTTGAGGCTCGCGAGCTCAGTAGTTGTGGTGCATGGGCTTAGTTGCCCCACGGCATGTGGGATCTTAGTTTCCTGACCAGGGATGGAACCCGAGTCCCCTGCATTGTAGGGTAGATTCTTTACCACTGGACCACCAGGGAAGCCCCAGCAGTTTGATTTTAATATGCATCAAACATCCTCAAACAAACATTTCACTGACACTGAGCTAGATGGCTGCTTTCTCTAAGAGGGTCTTGGAATTAAATATATTCAAGGTAATACTTTAACTTAGCTGCTCCTGTGCTACTGATAGGTTCTACGTAAGGTATTGAGTCAGTCATCTCTCTACAGGAATCAAGTATCTGAAACATGAAACTGCATGAATTAACCCTATCACTTGCCAGTTCTGGTCTTTTTCTAACATGTTTGTTCATGGCCTATGAATTTTTTTATTGACTTGTGCCATTAGTAACTTAGTATTCTCCCATCAGTATAAAATGTAAGCCATACAAGATGACATTACCCTTAAGCACAGGCAATTAAGTAAATTGCTCTCCTACTGCATGAGGAGGGAATCATACAACAGCTCTTGTCCTCTGTGTATTCATTGCAGCATTCACGTTAATACCTAGGAAGTCTGCTTGTCTTTTATCCCAGTGTGTTCATAGATATATCCCGTTTCCAAAAGCAACAAAATGTGAGGGAGAGAGAAGCCGGTAACTGGGAAGTTTGCTTAGAAAGCTGGATAGTGTAGGAGCCATGTTTTAAAAAGAGGGTGGGTAGTTTAGAAAATGGAAAATCTAACTGACAGCTTTCAACTGTTTCAGCCACTTGTCATTGAGACGACTCTGGGTATTCAATATTCATTCATTCATTGTAAACAAACAAACAAACAAAAAAACCCCACACCTTTTGGGGAAAATCCAAAAGCTCCAATTTAGATCAGATCTGTTGTGTAGACTTGCGTGTCATGCCAAAGGAGTGTGATGACGGTGTTGGAGGAGGGGAAATTGTCACATCCAGGGACTCGCTCAAGTCCTTGGGACAGACCTCCAAGTGAGGGTCCTTGGCTTCAAACAGGAAGGAATTCAAGAGTGAGCCAA